AGATTTTTTTTTTTAATTTTTAAAGAAGATTTATTTATTTCAAAGGCAGAATGGTGAGGGCACAAGAAAGATCTTCCATCCACTGGTTCACTCCCTAAATGCTCTCCATTGGTTGGACTGGCCCTGGCCAAAGCCAGAAGCCAGGATCTACATCAGGGTCCCCCACATAGATGACAGGCGCCTGAATGCTTGGGGCATCTTCTGCTGCCTTCCCAGGCACATTAGCAGGGAGCTGGATAGGAAGCAGAGCAGCCAGGACTCGAATTGTTAGTGCAACATGGGATGCCAGCATTGCGGTGGCAGCTTAGCTCACTGTGCCACTGGGTATTATTTTTAACAATCTAAAAATAAAACTGTCCCACTGATAAGGGAGGGGTAAAAAACCAGAAATTAAATAAAGCTTGGACACTAAGAGTTGCTGGACTGTGAGATAAGAGGATGCAGTGGAAAGAGCCCTAACCCAGAGGGCGAGACCAGGGGTTTAGGTCTGACCCTGCCACTTAACCCTGCGTGCTCCGAGCGGTGTCTAGTGACCTTGGCTGCGTTAAGGAAGGGGATTCCCCTGAATGTGCTCACTCACCCTCCCAGGGCTCAGGCAACTCGGGCCTGGTTTTTGTTTTGTTTAGTTTAAGATGTATTTATTTGAGAGGCAGAGTTAGCGAGAAAGAGGGAGAGACAGAGAGAGAGTGGTATTCATCTGCCAATTCACTCCCCAAATGGCTGCAATGGCCAGGGAAGGCTGAAGCCAGGAGCCAGGAGCTTCTTCCAGGTCTCCCACACAGGTGCAGGGGGCCAGGCACTTGGGCCATCTTCCGCTGCTTTCCCAGACCATAGCAGAGAGCTGGATGGGAAGTGGAGCAACTGGGACTCAAATTGGTGCCCATATGGGATGCTGGCATCACAGGTGGCAACTTCACCCACTGTGCCACAGCACTGGCCCTGCAACACAGTCTTTGAAAGAACAAAGAACACAGGTGATTGTCGCAAGCAATGAGTACCTGTAATCAGAAGAGGGGAACCTGAGGATCACCAGACTCGCCAGTATTCCGCATGTCGTTAGGAAGTCAGTCTCTGGGACGGCGACCTTGTTTTCTTAGATGCAGAGAGCAAGTTGTTCATTTCTGGCTGTCATGTGTTCAGTTTTGTTGTTGCAAGTGCAAGAGCTTCCTGACACCCTGTCGCCTGGAGTTGTCTCAGAAGGAGGATTTCCTGTCCCACCGCCACCACCATCTGTTGGCTGCCTTCTCTGCTGACTGGCACATGGGAACCCGAGTGTGGCCTTTTGGTCTTGGTGTCTCCATAGAAGGGAAAAACCGTCTTTGTCTTCCTGCACGCCTTTAACCTAAGTAGCTGCATTATTTTGTTTGTTATTTGAGTTTGTTACTTCTTCTCCGTTGATCCAGATGAACAATTCTAGATCAAGAATTTTAAAGGTGAATATGGGAACCTGGTATCTGAATGATGTATGTTTGTTATCACAAATGGCCTCCATGTCATTTTACTCTTTAACAAGATAATTTAGTATTTCTTCTTGCTGAGTGTTTTCCTCACTTGACAATACAGATGTCATCTAGTGAACTCTAACGTGCGGCCTTTGTGTTCAAATGAGTATTGGGTATATTTGGGTTTGCTCTGCCACACTCCGCATGGAGGAAGGGTCAGGTTCCTTTCTCTTCATGCATTAGGATCTGGGTCAGCCCCTTGCCCACAGGTGCAGGCTGGGTCTCCAGTCGTAGCATTTCCAGTTCCTGTCTTTCTTGGGAGCAGACTGGGATACAGGAGTAGCTGAGCCAGCCCAGCGGCCTGGAGACCAGGTCACAGGTCTTCCACCCATGACGTCACGTGTTACAGACTGACCAAAGCAAGTGAAATTATTTCCAATTGTCAGCTGGACACTGAGCCTGCCCTCCTCTGCCATGCCTTGCTACCCCGTGCTCTGAGAAGTAATTCTGCTATACATGTAGACAAGTGTTGGCCAGCAGGCATAAAGGTCGTTGTGTTGTCATCTCCAGGAGGTCTCCGTTGTACTCTTGGCTCAGAAGCTTTGCTGGCAGCAGGTGCAGCAGCTGGCTGACAGGATAAATATGGGCCCGAGGGGAGTCCTGAGACTTACATCTGAATGATGATTGTTGGGGAGGGGTGGGTACTTGCCTCCCATGGCAGAGTGCCTGGTTTGAGTCTTAGGTCCTCAGCTTCCAATCCAGCTTTCCACTAATGCATACCCTAGGAGGCAGCAAATGATGGCCCAAGAGCTTGGGTCTCTGCCACTCACATGGGAGACCCAGATGCAGTTCCTGGGCTCTGGCTTCAGCCTGGCTCAGCCTTGGCTGTTGCAGGCATTTGGAGCGTGAAGCAATGTATGGAAAATCTCAATAGCTCGTTCACTCTCTCTCTCTCTTTCTCCCCTTTCCGCCACCCCCCTCTACCCCTACCTGTTGTTCTGCCTTCCAAATAAATAAAAATAGACCAAAAAAAGATGCAGGTAATTTTTTAAAAATAATGACATGATATTGGATTTCTGGGTTCTCATTCCTCTTGTTTGAGGGAGAGATGCCTAGGTACCATTTCCAGTTAATCCACTTATCCTTCCACTGATTCAAAAGACCCTGCAGCGGCCACTTAGGGGAGCATAATAGATGCTGTCCAGCGGCCATTACTGGAGCGTGGGCACTGGCTGGGGATCTGTGCGTGCTCACCAAGCATGCCTGGGGTGCTCATAGCTGTTTCCTTCCAAGGTCAGCCAACCCGTGGGGTGCACATTAAACCCAGTGCACGCGCTCCTGTTTGCTGCACTGTGCTTCCTGAATTGCCCATAAGTAAATGACAGATGACAGAGCCCCCGGCTCCCAGTCGCACCTGGACCCTTAGCTTGAGGCCTTCACGGTCCTCACGCCCCAGCCTTTGGGAAGTGCAGGGGCAGAGCTCTTTGTGCTGAGTGGCGCCTCTGTGTCCCCAGGCAGCCCCCCAACCCAGGGCTCTGAGTGTGACAGGCCCAGCACACCTGTCCTCTCAGGGTCTCTTGAAAGGACCACTGTGTGGGCCGGGCCCCAGGGAGCCCTGTGCTTCGCCAGGACTGCTCCTATGCAGGGTCTCTGGGAGGGCAAGAGAGAGCTGGGAAGTGCCGGTGTGGTGGCGTAGTGGGCTAAGCCTCTGACATCCTATATGGGTACGAGTTCAAGCCCATCCAGCTCCCAGCTTGGGAAAAGCAGCAGAAGATGCCCCGAGTACTTGGGCCCCCGCACCCACCTGGGAGACCCAGAAGAAACTCCTGGCTCCTGGCTTTGGATCAGCTCAGTTCCAGCCATTGTGGCCATTTGGGGAGTTAAATGGTGGATAGAAGTTCTCTCCCTCTGTCTGTAACTCTGCCTCTCAAATAAATAAATAAAATCAGGAGAGGGAGAGGGAGAGAGAGAAAGAGAGACCGACCTGGGAAAGCTTTAGTTTTTGCTTTTTCAGGTTTTTTTTTTTTAAGGGAAGATGTACACAAATAGGCTTACAACTGTGGCAGCTTAAGAAAGTTTGCACGTACACAAGTCAGACCTTTATTTTATTTTATTTTATTTTTTTTATTTTTGACAGAGTGGACAGTGAGAGAGAGGGACAGAGAGAAAGGTCTTCCTTTGCCATTGGTTCACCCTCCAATGGCTGCCGTGGCCGGCACACTGCGGCCGGCGCATCGCGCTGATCCGATGGCAGGAGCCAAGTGCTTTTCCTGGTCTCCCATGTGGGTGAGGGCCCAAGTACTTGGGCCATCCTCCACTGCACTCCTGGGCCACAGCAGAGAGCTGGCCTGGAAGAGGGGCAACCGGGACAGAATCCAGCGCCCCGACCGGGACTAGAACCCAGTGTGCCGGCACCGCAAGGCAGAGGATTAGCCTATTGAGCCGCGGCGCCGGCCTCAAGTCAGACCTTTCAACACGTGCCAGCACAAGCGTGCCTTTTGCAGGAGATAGTGCCTCAAATCTCAGGGCCTCAGTGGACATGGGACACTGGGTGATGGGCCTTGCGGATCCTTGACCCAGTGGCCGGCCCTGTGCGGGCCTAAACATTGGAAATCAATGTCCTCTTCTCCATGCCCTGACCCGGGCCAAGCCCAGATCCCCGGAACCCAAAGCTCCTGCCCCCCCTCTCCCCTCTGTCCCTGGGGCCCCAGCCAGTTCACCCACCCGTGATCCTGCCTCCCAGGGACTTCTGACTCTCCTGCTGCCATCCGGGAACATCCCTGGTTGTCTTCCCCGGGGATGGGCAGGAGGCAGGCCCAGCCTGTCTCTCTCCTGATTTTCTGGTGGCCTGGGTGTCCTCTGGCAAGTGGGGATCCTGTAGGAGCTGGGGCCATTTTTTTTTAAGATTTATTTATTTATTTGAAAGTCAGAGTTACACAGAGAGAGAAGGAGAGGCAGAGAGAGAGAGAGAGAGGTCTTCAATCCACTGGTTCACTCCCCAAATGGCCATAACGGTCAGAGCTGAGCTGATCCGAAGCCAGGAGCCAGGACCTTCCTCCGGGTCTCCCTTGCAGGTGCAGGGGCCCAAGGCCATAGCAGAGAGCTGGATCGGAACTGGAACAGCTGGATCTCGAACCGGCGCCCATATGGGATGTTGGCAAGGCAGGTGGCGGCTTTGGTCACAACACCACAGTGCCGGCCCCAGGGCCAGTTTCTTATCTCAGGCCAATCACAGGACTGAGTGGAAGTCCAGAGACAGAGCAGGTGGTGGAGCTCCAGGACTGGGGCAGTGGAAAGTTGGTAACTGGGAGGGGGGCTTGGGAGCTGCAGGCTCTGATATTTTTCTTAAGGGGGTCTGGAAGTTCAGGGGACCTATTGCATTAGTCTTTAAATATTTGCTGTATTTATTTTATTAGTCTGCAAATGGTATATGGCATATTTAAAAACCTTTTAAAAGTGCATTAGACCTGCCTAACAGGAAGGGGTATGAGGAACGGAAGAGCTGGCTTTTGGCAATACACACAACGGTGACTTTCCTCTGACGTCTCTTTTCCCCAGCACCTGGTCAACATTTCTGACGAAGACACCCACATTCATATTTTACCTCCGCAGACCAAGTACTTCCAGATCAGCTATGTGAAGAAGGTAAGCACCGTGGGGCCACCTGCTGTCCCCCCCACCCCAGGGTCCTTGGCCGAGCCGTGGGCCTCTGTGTGTCAGGCCTGCCTGGGACGGTGTGTGCTGTGTGGTCACACACAGCGCTGCCATCTGCCCGGTCTGGGGAGGGGGACTCATCCCAACCACAGCCTGCCTGTCTTCCAGGAGCACCACCTTGTCCCTGGCCTGTCCCTCAAGGTCACCGTCATATTTTCTCCAGATGAGTGGCGGTACTATTACGACTGCATCCGTATTCACTGTAAGGTACGTACATTTCTGAAAGTTGCTTTTTGTTTGTTTGTTTTTTGGATGGCAGGTCAGAATTTATGTCCTCCAGGATAGAGGGGGGAGAGATGGAATGGCCAGGGAGCACTCTCAGCCCAGTGCCTGGCGGCCCCAGGTCAACAGGCTGATGGCAGAGAGGCTCATGGGCCTGGCGACGTGGGTCCCAGTTGGGAAGGGTCAGCGGCCGAGAGCCTGGGCAGGGGCGGGAAACCCTGTTGGCTGCAGGTCTCCCACTGTCCCGTGCCTGAAGCCTCGGTTACCACGGGCAGCTGCAAGGCGGTGAAGGCTTTGCTAACTAGCTTTCCTGTACCCCTCCGGGTGCTGGGCCAGGTTAACGGCCTCCCCGAGGTGCGATTATCCACCCCAGGGCCGTCCTGTGTCCGGCGCAGGGGGTGTCCGCAGAGGCAGCCCCCGGGGCCCCCTGGCAGCCTGACCCGGGGCACTGTGCACCTGGAGCTCTCGTGAGCCTCTTCTAGGTCAGCTGATTCACCCTCTGCCCTTGGTCAGAACCGACGCCAGGTGTTGTCAACCCCCTGAAAACTGTCACCTCCACCCCCTCTTTGCCCCCCATTCCAGGCCCGATCTTGCCACTCCAGCAGCCTTAAGCTTAGCTAAATTCAAAGTTTCGGAACTAGATGGAGGGGACAGGCATTTGGCCTGATGCCTAAAAGGCCAGGGAGGGGCCACATTGTTGCCGTGCATTCCTGATCGGTGTGCCTGGAGAGCAGTCCCACCTCTGCCTCCCCATCCAGCTTCCTGTGCCTGGGCAGCAGAGGATGGCGCAGGGCCTTGGACTCCTGTCACCCACGTGGGCGAGCTGCATGGAGCTCCTGACTCCTAGCTTCAGCCTAGCCCAGCCCTGGCCACGGGCATTTGAGAGCGAACCCGCAGATGGGAGATCTGCTCTTTCTCGCTCTGTTTCACCACCTTTAAAATAAATAAAAATGAATAAACTTAAAAAAAAAAAAAAAAAAGAATGCTGCCGGCGCCGCGGCTCACTAGGCTTATAATCCTCCGCCTTGCGGTGCCGGCACACTGGGTTCTAGTCCCGGTCGGGGCGCCGGATTCTGTCCCGGTTGCCCCCCTTCCAGGCCAGCTCTCTGCTGTGGCCAGGGAGTGCAGTGGAGGATGGCCCAAGTACTTGGGCCCTGCACCCCATGGGAGACCAGGAGAAGTACCTGGCTCCTGCCATCGGATCAGCGCAGTGCGCCGGCCGCGGCAGCCATTGGAGGGTGAACCAACGGCAAAGGGAGACCTTTTTCTCTGTCCCTCTCTCACTGTCCACTCTGCCTGTCAAAAAAAAAAAAAAAAATGCTGTTTAGGGTGCCTGCACCACATAGTGGAGTGCCTGTTAAATTCTCAGTTCCAATTCCTGATTGTTTCCTGCCAGGGCAGACCCTGGGAGGCAGTGGCGATGGTTCAAGTCATTGAGCTCCTGCCACCCACATGGATGATCTAGAAGGAGTTCCTGGTTCCCAGCGTCAGCTCAGCCCAGCCCTGCCTGTTGTGGGCATTTGGGGAATGGACCAGTGGATGGGGAGAGCGCTCTCTCACACAAATATGAAAAATGCAACTAAAATGGAAGAGTATTATTTATTAACAAACTCATTTCCTTTTTAAAATTTTTTCAAAAATGTTTTCATTACTTACAGTCTATACATTAAGGTGATTTATCCTGAAGACTTTACACTTTGATTTTCTTTATATAGAAAAAGCTCTAAAGTTTTACAAACCTGATTTTTTAAACATACATTTTCTTCTTATTATTTCACATTATCATATTAGAGCTTCTTGCCCGCATGGGGAGGGAAACAGCCTTACTTTTGAAAAGTCTGTAAATAAAACCAGAATTTCACTTTCAGAAGGAATATTCTTGCACTGGCATTGTGGTGAAGCAGGTTCTGCCTGCACCCATATCAGAGCGCTGGGTCCAGTCCCGACTGCTCCACTTCCAGTCCCGCTCCCTGCTGCTGTGCCTGTGGGGAAGACCCAGATGGAGGTCCTAGCTCCTGGCTTCAGCTTGGCCCCAGCCTGGCTGCAGCCATTTTAGGAGTGAACTAGCGGGTGGAGCGCTCTATTTCTCTGTTTGTTGCTCTGAATTTTCAGATAAATAAATAAATCTCTAAAAAAAGGTGAAAAGTAAAGAATATTCTGTACTAATCAGAAGAAAAATCCCTAAACAGGCATTGTGTAGAGTGCCAGTAGTGTTTCCTGTTACTTAGTGGTAACACTAATAACAATACTCCACATTTGTGCAGTATTTAAAATTTTTTTAATGAATTGTTTGAGAGTCAGAGAAAAAGAGACACAGACAGACAGCTCCCATCCACTGGTTCATTCCCAAAAAATGCTTGCTGGGCCAGGCCAAAGCCGGGGTGCAGGAACCCAGTTCACGATGCCCACATGGGTGGCAGGGACCTAAGTACTTGAGCCATCACTTGCTGCCTCCCAGGGTGAGCATTATCAGGAACCTGCAGTCAGAGGCAGAGATGGGACTTGAACCTGGTCCAGTATGGAATGTAGGTGTCCCAGTGAGCATCCCCACCACCAGGCCAAACCCTCACCCCTATGCGGAACCTTTGACAGCTTAAGCCCATCATCTGCGTTAATCCTTAAAATAGCTTTAAGGAAAGGTGTGATTATCTCCACCTTGCAAAGAAAGAAGCCAGGCCTGGAGAGGTTAAAGGTCGCACATCATACATGACTATAAGCAGAAATCTGTGCCCTCTTGCCCTTAATTGTTTAGTCCTCCGTGCTGTCTTAATCACATGACTTAATGCTGGTGTCTCTTCCCTTGGGCCACCAAAGATCATTCCTCACAGTTTTTTCAAAATAGAGCCAGATAAATTATTCTCTCTGTGTCTGTGTGAAGGCACCATTATCTGTAGTTTCTGTGGGTAACAATAAACGCTATTTCACTCAAATGTACTTAACATTTTCTATATTTTGTTTATGGCTAAGAAAATTCAGTGTTTCCAATGTGGTACTTAGGAAAAAAGTTCATAAAAATTATTTTAAACAAAATTTTTATTAAATATCATTTATTTATTAAAATATTAAAAATTCTACAGCACAGCAGGTCAAGCCACTCCCGGGGACACCAGTACCCCATATTGGAGTGCCAGAGAGTCCCAGCTGCTCCACTTCCAATCCAGCTCCCTGCTGATGCACCTGGGAACCTCCCACCCATGTGGGAGACCCAGATGAAACTCTTGTCTCCTGGCTTCAACCTGGCCTAGCCCCAGCTGTTGCAGCTACTTTCAGAGTGAACCAGTAGATGGAAGATCTCTCTCTCACACACGTGTTCTCTTGCATGCTCTCTCTTACTCTCTCATTCTCCCTCTTACTCTCCTACTTGTTCTGTCACTATGCCTCTCAAATAATTATTTTTTAATATTTGTTTATTGGAAAGGCAGAGTTACAGAGAGGCAGAGGCAGAGAGAGAGAAGTCTTTCATCTACTGGTTCACTCCCCAACTGGCCACAATGGCCAGAGCTGAGCCAATCCAAAGCCAGAAGCCAAGAGCTTCTTCCAGGTCTCCCATGTGGGTGCAGGGGCCCAAGGACTTGGGCCATCTTCCACTGCTTTCCCAGGCCGTAACAGAGAGCTGGATCAGAAGTGGAGCAGCCAGGACACGAACCAGCGCCCATATGGGATGCTGGCATTGAAGGCAGCGGCTTTACCCTCTACACCACAGTGCCAGCCCATAATAAATATTTTTTAAAAAGAAAAAGTTTAATGATAGAGAATAGGATAATAAAAAAAGCACCTACAAGTTCCTCTTTAGAGATTATATCTTCAGAAGGTGAAATTACTCTCTTTCTCATCACTTTTAGGGAGATGAGACTTTGCTTGTTCCCATCCATGCCTATCCTGTCATGAACTCACTGGACTTTCCCAAATTTATAAATCTATCGAATGTTCTACTTGGTGACAGGTGAGTTGCCAAAATGAATAAGTAAAACGTCATTCAATGTGAAAAGTTTAGAGATAATCACATATATTAACACGTAGGCTTGTGTTTTTCCTAATGGAAGTTTATCTTTCCACCTGGGTTAGACAAGACTTAGGAGTTGAAAAAGGCAAACAAACCCGTATCAAAATATCTTAAGCAGGCAGGTGTTGTGGTGCAGAGGGTTAAGCTTCCACGTGGGTCACCCACATTCCCATGTCGGAGTGCCTGGCCCCAGCTGGCCAGTCCTCGATTCCAACCCAGGTTTCTGCTAATGTGCCTGGGAGGCAGCCGGTGATGGCCCAAGTGCTTGGGTTCCTGCCAGCCACATGGTAGACCCAGAGGGAGTCCCTGGCTCCTGGCTTCAGCCTGGCCCAACCCTGGTTGTTGCAGGCATTAGGGGAGTGAACCAGAGGATATCTCTCTCTCTCTCTGTTTCTCCTCTCTTTCTCTCTCTCTCTGTGTGTGTGTGTGTCACTCTGCTTTTCAAGTAAATAAATCTTTTCATAAATAGAAGCAGGCAAGACAATTTATTGGGATCATTTAACTAAAGGGGGGAGCTGGTCTTTGTCTATAGACAGAGCTCAGTCTAGGGGTTGAAATCAAGCTGCAGGAATTGGATTTTCTGCATGTCTTGGCTCTGCTGCCTGGTGCTTCCCGGTCGGCAGCCTCCCCCTCAGGGACAAGACAGCTGCCCGGAGCGCCATAGCCTGGCAGTGGGGGTGACTGCAGGGCTGCAGGGGCTGGGCACGTTCAGCTACTCCCAGGACTGAGTCTTACTGGACCAACGTGGACCCTACACCCATCCATTAGCCAGTCTGCTTTTGGATGAAGGGAAGGCAAAGACAACAGAAATTCACTTGCGGGAGCCAAACCTCAGATTCTCTCCTTGTTCTTGTTGGGAAAGTGGTCCATGACTCCAGTTGTCCTGTATGATAAGCCGTGTCTTTCTGTAAATACTTATCAAATGTCACGTACCAGGCCTGGCTGTCCCCGGGCTATAAAGAAGATGGATGCTGAGCAGCCAGATACCAGCTCAGAGCTGCCGTGCCGGTTGTCACAGACTGGAATCCTTCTGTACCGGCTGGAAAATGTAGATGAGCCTGAGTCTGCCACCCCTCCAGGCCACCTGCCGGGCCCCTCCCTTACCCCCTCCTCCACCTCTCAGTGACTTCAGCAACTAAGCCATCAATACCTAGCAGTCTGGGGGCCAACGGGGCATCTGCAGGGCCTGGGCTGTAGTTTCCTGCCCACTCTGATTGAAGGATGCCTGGTGAACACCACCCAGGGTGAAAGCAAGACCAGGCTCCGAGACCTCAGAGGCTGGCGGGGCCGGGACTGTGTCATCATTTGTGCCGGTTGCTAAGGGCTGTGGCAGGGCTGAGTGAGAAAGGCATCGCTGACGTTGTAGGAGGTATGCCTCTGCCCTGAGACCACCCCTGCAGGAGTGGAGCCAAGAAATGGTGTAGGCCCATGTGCATTTGAGGAGCTGTGTAGAGTTAGAAGGGCGGGGGTGCCAAGACTGCCTCCATGGGCCAGTACCAGGCGGAGAAGGCCCAGGGCACTTCCAAAATAGGCCGGAATTGCCAGTACGTGTAGCAGCAGGGTCTTAGGTCAGATTCCTCCGAAGCCCAAACCAAGATTCATTGCACAGGGTTTATTAAGGGATAACTGCTAGGCAGTGAGGGATAGGGCTCTGGGCTCCTGGCTTCAGCCTGGCCCAGCCCTCACTGTTGTGAGCATGTCGGGTGTGAACCAGCAGGTGGAAGATCTTTGTCTTTCTGGCTCTCATTCTCTCCTTCAAATAAAATGAAAATAAATAAGTTTTTTAAAAAAGTCACCAGGAGAAGTAATGGGAAATGCAGAGAGCATTTATTCTGGACGTGGTGCTGCGGGCCATGCAGCCATGGGCTGCCACAGCAAGCAGGCCACATGCCTGTCTCAGGGCTGCCAAGGCTCCATGCACCACAGGGTCATGTCAGCAACAGGGACAGGAGCAGGCAGGATGTCTGAAGTATACACCCAGGGACAGAGCCAGCATGTTTGCGCTTCTGGAGCATTTAAGTCCTATGTTTAGGATTTTACGCAAGGATGCCCGTTTTTAGAATTTACCCTCCTGGCTGATTTTAGAAAGTATTAGAATAACCAGGGTCAGAGTGGGACGTCTGAATGCCATCAAGTCCTCTCACCGCTCCCGGATCTTAAAGCATCTGGCCGCGTGGGAATGCGCGTTCTTACACCAGCACCGGGAGGGAAGATTGATAGTGAGAGTTTGCCCCGACATCCACAACAACCTAGCCCAGTGCTGACTTGCGCCAATAAAGAGACTATATATCAGCTGGACCTAAGTCAGGGTGTCAGGATGACACCACAAACTTGATCTTCAGGGGCAGGCACTTGGCCTGCTTGGGTTTAGACATCAGAGTGCCTGGTCAGGTTCCTGACTGCAGCTTCCTGCCAGCGCAGACCCTGGGAGGCAGTGGTGATGGCTCAAGTACTTAGGTTCCTGCCATGTGCGTGGGAGACTCGGGTGGAGTTCCCAGTTCAAAGCCTTGACCTTGGCCCAGGGCCCCAGCTGTCCCAGGCATTCTGGAAGTGAACCTGTAGATGGGAGCTCTGTTTGTCTCTCAAATTAATTATTTAGTTTAAAAGTTGATCTTGAGGAGGATTCTTTGAAGCCCCTGGCTTGAAGAGAGTCCCCCCTCCCCCTGCATCTTTGAGAACATCAGGAGAGGCAGGTGCCGTATTTAGGCTAGGGACTCATTTCATGCTTCCCAAATTTGCAGTTCGTTTGAAAGAGCAGCAGAATCTTATGGAAACAAGCTGGCAAGAATGCCATGCACTTGCCAACATCCTTATTCTTCATATAAGCCCCTACCTGGGTATATTGAATGAGCCTGTATTTTGAAATTTGTTTAGATAAAATAATCACATTTGTTTACCAAAACCTTGAATTTTTTGTATACAAAAACTTATCCCAATGGTGGGGAAGCCATTGTAATCCATAAGCTGTACTTTGGAAATTTATATTCATTAAATAAAAGTTAAAAAAAAACTTATCCCATACTTTGTAGTTAAAAATTTCTTTCATTTAATATCCCACTAATGACTTATTTTTTAGGAGTCTTTTTGTTTATTTGAAAGGCAGAGTGACAGAGCAAGGGAAAGACCGAGAGAGAAAGAGATCTTCCATCCACTCCCCAAATGGCTGCAACAATCAAAGCTAGTCCAGGCCAAAGCCAGGAGACAGGAACTCCATCTGGGTCTCCCAAGTGCGGGGGCCCAAGTACTTGGGTCATCTTCCACTGCCTTTCCCAGGCACATTAGCAGGGAGCTGGACAAGAAGAGGAGCAGCCAGTGCCACAACCTGGTACCCCAATGCTGACTTATTAACAATATAGCTACTCATTATGAGCCAGTTCTTTTATGAATATCAACAGGAAAGAACAATCATCCAACTCTAAACTATGAGAATCTGTATTCATAATGATGAGAGGGCATCAGTTCCTCCCTCTCATTTAGCACAAGTGGGCACCAATGTGAATAAACAAAGGGAACTTTCCATGGAAGGTCTGAGTTCATGTTTACTGTTTTTTTTTTTTTTTTCACAAGATATTAAATTCTGGCTCCTGGATAAAGTTGTGAAAAGACTGAAAAACATAAAAATGGGGAAAGCAATATTTCTTTTTTCCGAGAAACCTTTTATTTAAGATACACCAACTTCGTGCATTTCATAAATGCAGCTTTAGGAACGTGGTGGTTCTTCCCATCATACCCACCCTCCCACCCTTCTTCCTCTTCCCTCCCATTCCTATTCTTATTTTTTACTAAGATCTAATTTCAGTTAACTCTACACACATAAGATTAACTCTATGCTAAGTACAGAGTTCAACAAATAGTATGAAAAAAAAAAAAAAACTGTTCCTCCACAGTGGAGACAAGGGCTGTTCAAAGTCATTGCACCTCAAAGTGTCAATTTCAGGGGAGGTGATATTGCACTTACCGACCCCTGACTTGAACCGTGTAACACTTTGCTTTCTTCCCTTAGACTTGTGCCGGTTACTCAGCAGCTTGCGTGGGGCTAAGGGGTAGAGCAGGCCAAGTTCATGATCAGCATCTGGAGCAAATGAATGTTTGCATCAGGGGCAGTAGTGAAAGGGGGGACATTTTTCTCATTCGTGGTCTTCTAGTCTGTATAAACTCATTACCTTCAAGAGCATATAAATTTTGTGGCTGCTATGAAGTTACCAAGCTACTAACAAGGACAAGCAACAGGAGACTCCACACTGTTGTTAGAAAAGATATTCATGGAGGCAACATTGCAGTGTAGTGGGTGAAGCCGCCACCTGCACGCCGGCATCCCATATGGATGCCAGTTCATGTCCTGGCTGCTCCACTTCCAATCCAGATCCCTACTAATGCGCCTGGGAAAGCAGCAGAGGGTGGCCCAAGTGGTTGGGCTCCTACACCCAGGTGGGAGATCTAGAAGAAACTCCTGGCTCCTGGCTTCAGCCTGGCCCAGCCCCAGTCATTGTGGCCGTTTGGGGAGTGAACCAGGGGATGGAAGACTTCTTTCTCTCTGTGTCTCTCCCTCTCCCTCTCTGGAACTCTGCCTTTCAAGTAAATAAATAAATAAAATTTTCAAAGAAAAGAAAGGAGTTATTCATGGATGAATCCCCAACTTTAATATTTAAGAATATAACATAATGAACTTTAATGTCTACCCCAAGCACCGACTGCAAAAACAATGGGTAGTTCTCAGTCGCGGAGGCTCACCCTGCACAGATTTAGACACAGTTTGAGGATGTGCCCTAAAGCCTGGTGTTCCGGAAGCTAGTCTTCAGTGTGGCCATGTTGACGGGCACTGGAACCTGTGGGAGGTAGAGTCCAGTGGGAGTTACTTAGGCCATCAGGGGCACTGCCCTTGGAAGGGGTTAGTGCAGTTCTCTTTGGACCCCAGTTTGTTCCTGGGAGGGTGCATTGCA